CCGCGGACCTCATTCAGCAGAGCATGCTGGGAGAGGGGCTTCAGGCGGAGCTGCAGGACGAGGCGGGGCTCGAGGGGAGACAGGCGGCCGGGCCGCCGGTGGACCTGCGGCAGACCACGCGCGTGGCTCTCATCGGGTTCTGTTTCCACGCCAACTTTAACTACCGCTGGCTGGGCGCCCTGGAGAGGGCGCTGCCGGGGGGCGGGGCTGGCAGGGTGGCGGTGAAAGTCGCCGTCGACCAGATCGTGGCGGCGCCTGTAACCATCAGCGTGTTTTACACCGGTGAGCGCAGCTCCTGTGTCTGACTCGACTGACACACTCCTCTCTCTTCTCTCTTCTCTCCTCTCTCCTCTCTTCTCTCTCACTCCTCTCACTCTCCTCTCTCTCCCCTCTCTCTCCTCTCACTCCTCTCTCTTCTCACTCTCCTCTCAATCCTCTCACACTCCTCTCTCTTCTCTCTTCTCTCTCCCCTCTCTTTCTTCTCACTCTTCTCTCTCACTCCTCTCTCCTCTCAATCCTCTCACTCTCCTCTCTCTCCTCTTACTCTCCCCTCTCACTCCTCTTACTCTCCCCTCTCTCACTCTCCTCTCACTCCTCTTACTCTCCCCTCTCACTCCTCTCACTCTCCTCTCACTCCTCTCACTCTCCTCTCTCTCTCCTCTCTCTCCTCTCACTCCTCTCTCCTCTCTCTCAGGGCTCAGTGTGCTGGAGGGGAAAGATGACCCGTTTGAAGATCTCAGACAGAAGTTCTGGACCTCCTACACGGTACTGGGAGGAGTGAGAGACAGACACTGGACTGGCTGCCATCTCTGTGGGAAAGACTAACACCCTCCTCTCTCTCTGTCTCCCCCTGCAGGCTGGACTGCTATACTGGTCTTCAGTGCAGGTAAGTGTCCAGGAAGCAGGAGCCCGTCAGAGGGCTGGCGCTCAGGTCCAGTGGGAGAGGCTGAGTGACTGGGGTGGGAGGGCTGTGTGTGTGTGAGTCTATTTGTGATCTTTAGGCAGTCCAGCAAACAGGAGTACAGAATGCTGATGCTGCAGTATAGTACAGAGGCAGGCTCACTGTGCCTCTCTGTCTCACAGGCAGTGAACTTCTCCCTCGTCCCTCCAGCTGTCCGCACTGTCTTCGTGGGAGGGGCAGCCCTGCTGTGGACAGTGTTTCTTTGTCACCTCAGAGGGAGAAGAGAGCTCATGCAGGACAGAGACACTGACTGACTGACTGACTGACTGACTGACTCGCTAACTCGCTGACTGACTCATTGACTGACTGACTGACTGACTGACTCGCTAACTCACTGACTGACTCACTGACTGACTGACACAGTGACGGACACACTGACAAACACAGTGACTGACTGACACACTGAGTGATACACTAACTAATACTAACTAGACTCACCACACTACATCTTCGCAGTATGGAAGAAGAAAATGAGGACCAAGACAAGAACCGTCCTGTGTCCAGCTCTGGGTCCAACTCAGTGTCCAGTCCAGTGTTCATCCAGGTGCCCACCCTAGTTTCCAGTGCCGTGCCCAGAGGCCGTGATGAGCCTCCAGGATCTGTGATGAGCCTCCAGGATCTGTGATGAACCTCCAGGACTGTGATGAGCCTCCAGGATCTGTGATGAACCTCCAGGACTGTGATGAGCCTCCAG